ATCATCGCTGTTCATTTCATTTAAGCTACTTAATGAATAATCAATCAACATTAAAGCATCAAGTATGTTCAATTCAGTAGCTTCAAGTTTTTCCGTTAATATTTTGGTCTTGTACATTAGATTTTTCATGAACAATAAGGAAACAACGAAGTCAAATGAAAGAAGTTTTTTTACAAGTCCTAGTGCTTGATTTCGTGTATTATTATTTACTATCAATTATAATATATTGTAGCAGTGAAGTACGATCGTCGATCACAACAATAATCATTAAATCAAATCAAATATCTAAGACTAAGATAACGACGTATATTCCGACTACGGCTATAAATACATTCATTGCCCTTAGATTCGGGAATTGTAGCCGTAGCCGTCCACGAAAAATGTTTTTCTAATACCAACTAGTGCAATCTAGTTCTATAGTTCAAATTTTTGCCGACCATTTAATTTTATTTAGCGTATGGCTATATATGCCGACTATATAAATGGGTTATTCGTTGGTGGGGGGGTATTGCACCCCCCCACACCCCCCCTAACGCCGGGCCTGGATATTGTAACAATATACCAGGAGCCTTGTATTCAATTTTTACACTTTTTGGCCCAACAGATAAAACTTTATTGATATTCATAGAAAAAAAAACTAAAAAAATTGAAAAATGAAAATATCCGTAAACAGCTCAAAAAGAGTAAAAATATTTTCAAAATTGTATGGTGTATAGGAAATGCTAATATAAACATTCAGTGAAATTTTCATGTATCTATAGTTATTCGTTTATGAATAACAACAAAATAAGGAAATCGCTACATGAGAAATCGAAGTCGAGTCAGATTTTTAATATTTTTCAAATGCCATTGTAACAATATAGTAGGAGCCTTCTATTAAATTTTCAAGTTTTTTTAACCAACAAATAAAATTTTATTGATATTTCTAGAAAAAAACTAAAAAAAAAATGAAAAATGAAAATGTCCTTAAACAGTTCAAAATAAATCAAAATATTTTGAAAATGTTATCGTGTATAGAAAATGCAAATATAAACAAGCACTCAAAATTTCATGTATCTACGGTCATTTGTTTTAATGTTACACCAAAAACCAAATTCAATTTTCTGAAAAATGCGTAAAAATTCCCGTTTTTCCTTAATTTTTCTTTAGTTTTCTTGGCGCTTTTGAAAAGTACTGGGAATTTTAAATTTTGACCTCCCCAATGCACCAACGATATTCACTTTCCAATCGAACAAGATACTGAAGTCGAAAATCGAAGCATTATTTCGACTACTTGTCGTGTGCACAGACACAAAAAAAATTAAAAAATTAAAAAATATAAAAACACACATCATTGTAAAATCAATACATTCATCGTTTCACTCAGAATCTAAAAAACGAGTCAACTGTCCAAGAAATCCGCACCGGCCACTTTTCGTGTCGTGAACTATAATATCCGTATCAGGGTCGCATGCACTTTTCGTTACTCTTTTCATACAAGCCGGCGGCGACGGCGCGAGACAGCGGTGTCAGTAGTATTCGTGACGGTGGCAAGATACTTGTTGATCAGTCTCATCGCGATCACATCATACGTTCCTATTACATTTTATTCAGAGTTTTCCCGAAAATGAACATGACGTCACAATAGCTTTTCCACAACGTTTCCACCATGTCACAAGACGTCATGTAATAATAATATCAGAACTCAGAAGTGATAATAACGTAATACTCATTTTTCAAAAAGTCAAATATTCAAAAGGACATAAGCCATGTGTATCTGCGGTATCCAGTGCAATTTATAGTTATCGATAAAAATTAAATTTTTCATTACATGTATTTTATTTCAATAATTATAATAAAAGTGGTTAATTTTATTTTATATAGAGATACAGTTCTTGCGTGGCGCATTGGACCAGGATTTTCATAATATCGAAATTATGATATTAGATCTAAATCTAAATATTCAATCTAAATGCAATTCATTTTTAAACTTTATAATAATAATATCCTTTAATATCCTTAACAAACATCCGATAAAACTAACCAAGTATAGCTGCCTAAATGTCTCTTTGAATGATTTCTTTTTATTAGTTATACACTTATACATGCTCGTAGGTATGTGTTCATAATCCGTTTTTAAAATTAAAATCTGTCAAACCAAATTCTTCCAGTTTTGTCTAGCTTATTGGTCTAAAAGTCACTTTATTTTCATTGACTAGAGCCCCCTCCAGCCCCCTAAATATTTATTTTATGATACGGAATTTAAATATATTGAAAAACATTATAACAAACAAAATTAATGTTTAGATTGGTCAAATTTGCATTAGTTTTGACTTTTGACAAAACCTGCTGCAGCCCCCTTAAGTCAATTAATTAAATAGTTCAAAACTATTTTAAATAATTATCTAAAAATGATAATTATATATATATATATATATAATATTCTTCTAAAATAGCATTAAACTTCAACATAATAATCATTATAATTTATAACTGTGAAAAATTAAGATACCTATTACACATAATGTGGAAATATTTAAATAATTATTTATCTACTCTTAATATTACAACTATTTAACAAAATATTTTTTTACATAGGTAAATATTCGGATATAGGTATATATTATTTAAAAGGTTTGAAAAATTATAGGTACATAGTGTCTTTAATTGTTGTTGTGGTTGTTGATACAGGTCATCAATTACATCGGTCATTGTATTATGAGGTAGGTACCTTAAGTATAAAATATCGTCATATTTATTTACTACTCGTTTAGTTTAGTCCATAGTAAGTTGTATAAAGAATATGGATAATATATGTGGTCCTTATTTTTAATTTGTGATTTTTTTAAAATTATACCCACCCTAAAAAATCATACAAAAAAAGTTTCATGCAAACTCTTTAATTTTAACAAGTGCCACAAAAGCTCTAAAGTTACAAAAATGGAAAATTTAATTTTTATGAATATTTATATTATAACTTATTAATATAAACAAACATTTGATTCATAATAATGAATTTGACTTGGTGAGATTTTAAGGTTGGTTCAATACATCATATAATTATGTATGTCAACTTTTAATTACGATTGAAATTGAAATACCATTATTGTGATCAGAAATATAAAATATAAATATAATTTACAATAATATCACCCCTTTTGAGTACAGGGAAAACGATTACGAATGACAATTATCTTAATCGAGCTAATCTTATCTTATGTAACCCTGCACTTAATGAGCTACTGGGTATCTACTCCCTACGGTCATTATTTTTAGAGTTACATAAAAAACCAAAATCGTAATTTTCGACAATCGATCTCGCGTAAAAATTCGTGGTTTTTCTTAATTTTTAGATTCTGAGTGGAACGATGAATGTATTGATTTTACAATGATGTGTGTTTTTCTATTTTTTTATTTTATTTTTCTATTTTTGTGTCTGTGTACACGATAAGTAGTCGAAATAATGCTTCGATTTTCGACTTCAGTATCTTGTTCGATTGGAAAGTGAATATCGTTGGTGCATTGGGGAGGTCAAAATTTAAATTTCCCAGTAGTTTTCAAAAGCGCCGGGAAAAACAAAAGAAAAATTAAGGAAAAACGGGAATTTTTACGCAAAATCAGGTTAGGTTAGGTTAGGTTAAGGAACGTGATAAGTATTTTTTTTTGTTTAATTGCTGTGCTATTGTTTTTATTGATAAAATAATTAAAAACTCTTCTGGTCAAATAATTCTTGAGGTTACTAAATATGAAAATTTATCTCCTATATTTAATTGGAAATTTTCTGGTAAATACGGAAATTAAAATTCCAAAATGTTTAATTGAATTGTCAAATTTAAAATATAAGTGTTTGTTTTTCCATATATCAGAAAATCAAGCTGTAGCCTTAAACTTATTGCATACAGAATAATTACTTTAAAAGTCATAATTCTGTTGAATATTGTATTAGTAATTTTTCATAATAAATATTTTATACTATATTATTTGTGTTAATGTTAAATCATATTTCATTCAGTATTATTATACATTTTTCAGAACATTTGATACTCAATATAGCTTTGAAATGATTGTATACAAAATAAAATGTATTTAATTTCTGTTAGGTATACATTTTGTAAATACCTATTATGTATGTAACTTTTAAAAATAAATATTTTGTACTTTATGACCTGTGTTGAATCATTTAATTATTATTTCCAATTTTTCAAAGCTTTTGAAAGCCCAACATAAAATTCTAAAACAGTTACATGGATGTTACACATTGGACATCTCATAGATAAAAAAAATGTGATATCCTTAGGTATGTCTTATAAGATGTTGATGGGATATTGCATTTAACATCTTTAAGTAGACTACTAAGATATGTTTAATGTGAGATGTTCTATAGATGTTAAGTTTTAACTTCTCGGATGTGATTTCCTTCAACGTGGCATTTGGCATCTCCAGAACATCACATAAATGTATGTGGGTAGTAAAGAGAAACATCACATATCGCAATAGAACATCTATTTTACTTCTCTGATACCAGATATTGCACACAGGGGGGGGGGCCTTATATAATCCTGGAAATTCAAAATATGCGTGGACTGCATCATATTGTCACTTACCTTGGAAATCTGGAAAGTATATTCCCAGACCATATTTCTCCTGGTTTCTCTAGGCCATATTTTTTACTTAATGTGGTAAACAAAGTATACAGGTTTAAAATTTTCCAAATGAAAAAAAAAAAAATTCAATACAGATTACAATAATTAGAGCTGATATCTCATAACAGATCTTATTGTGGCCGTTTGTAGACTTCAGTAATCAGTATGTCACTATTTTAAAAATGCACTATTATGTTGCTAGTGCAATGGGTCGAGTTAAATGACAAAATAATTAAATTGCCAACAAATTATAAGCGATCACATGACCTTAGGATTGACATAATATTTTAGAGAACAATTTAATGGTAATAACACATCATATTAAAATAATATAATATATTAAAAAAATGTTATGTAGGTACACCAGTATTGTTATTATTATTTCATGTGTGAGTGAGACACACCATCTTCTTCGTCCGTCTCAATATACGACTCACACGTCTCGTATTGATCAGAAAAATCAAACATTTTCATCTTATCACCAAATGATAATACGTCCTTGTGATTTAAATAAAATTCCATAAATGCTTCATTAACTAACCAATTGCACTTGTGTTTATATTTTTTGAAAAATAATTGAAACCACCATCTATCGGGATTCGTGAATTTATATGTATCATTAAACAAATTGAAGAATGATGGATATTCAACGGTTTTGTTGAAAGGAACTTGGGTGCCTTCAAGTGTTACATTTTTGATTTGCTGTGTCACATTTTTCCCCTCATTCCAATTAATCTCACAGCCAGTAAGTTTGTACTCAATAGCGTAGTCCAAACCGTAACATTTAACAATATCAAAAATATTGTCTGGAGGGTACTCCTCGAACTTTAAGGTCAGCACATTATTAGTGAACCATTTGTTAGGTGTGAAATGAAATTCCAAAGTATATCCTATATACTCTTCCGATGGATTACATCTGATATCTGACAAATGTCTGATGATTTGCTGGTCATGTGGCAGTATGTGACTTTTGAATTTGTACGAGTTCTCCATGTACATAAGCCAAAAGTCCGGTATTCCTTACGGTTCTTGTCTACTTGTCTCTTTTGATTCAAGTCCTATTTTCCCCAGTTCATCATATCTGGGAACTTGTACATCATCTTCATCAGAACTACTGTATTCGCCTTTGGTAGGCTCGTGGTTTCCTTGAATTATATCCGTTTGCTTATTAATATATGGCTCGTACACTTTTTGGTATTTCAATTGAAGAAGATGAAATTCAGCATTGAATCTCAATTTAATCTCATGCTCGGCTAAAATTAGTCTTTTTAGAGCCCGCACGCGCTTTTTTACTTCTGGCGACATATTTGTTAGTTTATTTTTCAAAATCGTACAATGAATCCAAGTGCGTTGTTTGTTTCACCACGATTGCAAAAATAAATTTAAACGACTGTCAAAAATTATATTTTTAAAATAAAATAAAATCGCTTTTCAAAAAACTGTCTTTAAAAAAAAATTGTTAGGTTGCCATCGTCATAAATCACTATAATAATATATCCGTGTATTATTATTTTTATGTGAGAAAATAAAATGAAGAACAGCTGATTACGAGAACGGCTGTCTACAAGCAACCCGTTGAAGGGAAAACGCAGGCTATAGTGAAACCGTGGCATAAAAAATGAAGACCAATCGCGTACCTTCGCAGCGGCGGCGGCGGTCGGTTTTAAAACGTTTTTCGTCATCACCTCTTTTCCTATCATTTGAAATTTTCGGAAAATTAGCTGTTTTTACAGCACGATTTCGACCCTTTTCGCCCTTTTTTATACTTAATTCGAAGCCGCCGGTGTGCGGTGGTTTATATTCGTGCGCCGTCCGAAGCGGTCGCAATGTCGACCGAAAAATACACTCCCGACCGGACTTTTTTTGCTAATTTTTTCCTTTTCTCACACCGTTTCGTCTATTCGCACGCCGTTTGTGCCCGAATCGTCGACGTCTTTTCAAAGCCGTTTATATGCGCTTTTCCCCCGAAATCGGTTCGTTCGCCTCGCAATCGCAATTACGCCGGCGACCAACCGACCGTACGCGTATATATACATGTATATACGTGTATAATTTAATTTGAATTTAAAATGAATTCTAAGCTTCCTTCGTAGTTCATATTCATAAAGTTATCAATGAAGCAAGCCATAGATAAACTTTCTTCAGAGAATCTATATTCAGTGCCGTAAAAACCGGGTGTGCAAAGTGTGCACCGCACACAGGCCTCGAGCCTCATAATATATCGAAGGGCCTCAAAAGATCTAAAGACTAATATTAAACTAATATAAAATTATTAAAATATATAAATCATTTATTATTGATTTGGAAACGAAACCAATGTTGTTTCATTTTTAATATAGCATGGAGTCGTGATCACTGTTTTTAGATTTTGAGAGGAACGAACAAAATAACAAATGTATTGATTTTACAAGATGTGTATAATTTTTTTCATTTCTGTCGGTTATCAACAATGGGTAGTAAAAATATTCCGAATTTCGAGATCAGCATTTTTTCTGGTAGAAAAGTGAATCTAGTTGGTACTTTTTGGAGATCGAAACCGAAATTTTTAGTTTTAGATATTAAAAAATTTCAAAAGCGCCAAGAAAAACAAAAGAAAAATAAAGGAAAAACGGGAATTTTTACTAAAATCGATTTTGGTTTTTGGTGTAACTTTAACAAATTACCGTAGATACATGAAATTTTCACTGGTTGTTTATATTTGTATCTTCTATACACGATAAAATTTTCAAAATATTTTGATTTATTTTGAACAGTTTAGGGACATTTTCATTTTTCATTTTTTTTTAGTTTCTTTTCTAGAAATATCAATAAAATTTTATTTGTTGGTTGCGAAAATTTGAAAATTTAATAGAAGGCTCCTAGTATATTGTTTCAAAGGCAGATGAAAAATATTAAAAATCGTTAGTCACAGTTTTTTTTTATAAGCATTTAAAGTTCAAATATTGACAAAATATGGAAAAATCACGAAAATTAGCAAATTATTTTGAGTTAAGAATTCGTAAAAATTTTTCTTTTTAAATCTAAGATTTGAAAATGTAATACAAGATTACTCATAAGTTTTTCTACCTGTATCAATAAAAAAATCTCTACCGGCCAGTTAAATTAAATTTTTATGAGCGTTTGAAATTCAAATTTTTACAACATTGGATATTCACTCGATTTCTCATGTAGCGATTTCCTTATTTTGTTGTTATTCATAAACGAATAACTATAGATACATGAAAATTTTACTGAATGTTTATATTAGCATTTCCTATACACCATACGATTTTGAAAATATTTTGACTCTTTTTGAGCTGTTTACGGACATTTTCATTTTTCAATTTTTTTAGTTTTTTTTTCTATGAAAATCAATAAAGTTTTATCTGTTGGGGCCAAAAAGTGTAAAAATTTAATACAAGGCTCCTGATATATTGTTACAATATCAGTTGAAAAATATTAAAAATACATAGGCACAATTTTTTTTTATAAGCATTTAAACATCGAATTTTGACAGAATTTTTCAAAATCTCGAAAATTATTAATCATCGTAATTAATAAATTATAAAATGTTCAGTTTTTATAGCTAAGGATTGAAAATTTAAAACAAGATTCCACGTAAGTAGTTAATTCTCTTACCGAAAAATCTAAAAAATATACAATCACAGTTTATTTTTATAGTCATTTTATGTTCAAATTTGGACGAAATTACATATTAAAAAACCTAGTTATTTTGTTGTTATTATATAATATTATTCGTGGGTACCTACTTGAAACTTCTAAAGTGGACTATTATATATCTATGATAGTATCAGGGTTTGTTATTGATATTGATGTATAACGTGTTATAAGTACCTAATGGATATTGTGATAATGTGATATGATTAATTTGGAATTTATTATAGGTCAATTTTTTTTTTAATACCATAGATATGTATATAATTTGTATTAAACCTAGACTGACATACCGTCTTCGCTCAGAATCGTTTTTCTTATACAATGATATTGTATCATTGAATTCAAATTTAATAGCATCCATTATACAGTGACCCACTTGTAACCTACTGTACAGCAGAGCGACATCCACTTACCCACCTTTTTTTTTTTTTGTTTTTCTCGTAACTTTTGAGTACAAATGTTGACCTCCTTAATGCACCAACTAGATCCGAATAAGATACTGAAGTTGAAAATTGAACCATTATTTCGACTATTTATCGTCTACACAGAAACAAAAATTAAAAATTAAAAATATATACATCATTGTAAAATCAATACATTCATCACTCCGCTCAGAATCCAAAAAAAATAGGTACTAAATAAATGGAAAAATATAAATATAAATATAAATATAAAATATAAATTTAATTTTTATGAATATTTATATTATAACTTATTAGTATAAACAAACATTTGATTCACAATAATGAATTTGACTTGGTGAGATTTTAAGGTTGGTTCAATACATCATGTAATTATGTATGTCAACTTTTAATTAAGATTGAAATTGAAATACCTGCTAAAATTGTATAATAAATTTAATTGTCTACGTGTAGGCATTAACCTTCAATCTTTCGTTAAAATTGCATCAACATCTTCTTCTATTTGTACTTATTTTTCAATCGATCACTTTGGATTTCGGTGAAATAAAATTTGAGCAGTAGGTATTTTTTCTTTTATGTGTAACAATATGTATAACATAGGTATCAAGTTAAAGGTATAGAAGAATAAACTAAATAACATAAGCATAACCATAAACTAACAGCAGTTCTGTAAAGTGTGAATCGTTCGGTTATATCCACTTCTATGAGCATAATATTATCATGTCTTAATATTTAAGACTTAATTAATGAATAAAAATAATCTCATTATTATACTTAAACCTATAGAATTTGTAAAAGCAATCCAACAAAGTAATAATAATAATTATTATTATTATTAAGTATTATAATAATGCTGTAATTACTGTATTAGGTATTTTATTAATTTTCTAAATAAAATGTACACGCAGTGATTTTTGGCTTAGGTATACCCTTACACCGTCATCGGCACTTTTTTTATGTGAATGGTGTATACACTATTTAAAGTAGTCAAAATTCTTCGATTGCCAACTTCAATATAATTTCTGGACTTCTGGTAGGAAAGTGAATCTAGTTGGTACTTTTAGTCAATAATCAAAGTGCCTAGAGCTGTACATTTTCAATAACTGTGAGCATTTTGAAAATTTGTTTTTTATTTTATAATTATTTAAATTATAGACAATTGGTTAACTATACGTTTATACATAAAACACTTACCAACTTTCTTATAAAATAAAAATACTAACTGTTTAATATATTGTATTGCTTAAAAGTGTAGGTGTTATAAAAAAATTATAAATGTAAACTTAAATTATCATTTATCACTATCGTTATTATCACCGTTTTTATTAATATTACTGAACACGTAGAATTAAAAATTGTTAATACTTTTATTATATATTATAACGAAGTTGGAATCGTGACTACGGCCTATACTGGTATTCGTGTACGTTGTACCTAAGTAGTGTAGAGAAAAAATTTAAAAATTTCACTCATTGAAAATTTGCAATGTTACTGAAAATGTCAAGGAAAAAAAAATGTCATTTAAAAATGGTCAAGCTTATCTACACAGCAATTTTTTGTTGAATAATATTATTATAACATTGTAATAACGAATAATATTTATTGTATAACGTTATTATAATAGTATTATAAAATGCTATCTGGGTACCTACAATTTTCTTAATAATTGGGAAAAACAAAATAGAAATTAGGAATAAATTGTATTATTACGGGATACCAATTTTGACAAATTCTCTTTTAATTTTTTTCAATAAATTTTTGTAATTTGTACTCTTGTTTGAGAACGAATTTTACACAGTCCACACTACAAGGAATATTGTTCATGTATGCTTTTAACAAACTGTGTTGCAATACATTTTTGCAAAAGAAACCAAATAATTTGCTACTTCATTTATTAGAGCATAAATAACTATTTTTTTTATACATTGCAACTAAATTTTTACTTAATATAGTAAATAAAGCAGATTAAAACAAAACAGAAGAAATTGATGTATAAAATGTAAATATGTATATATAATATTATGTAATATGTACAAACATTACATTGATTTGTGTGTGTTTATTTTTATTATTTTTTTCTGTCTGATGACACTACTTTGAGCAATATTTTTTTGCTGTTCATAAAGGAATTAACCGTCGATTGACCATATATTTATATTAACATTTTCTCTGAAGTCATTTTAAAAATATTTTTTTATGTTCTGTTTGAAATATAAAATACATATT